TATTTCAATCAAACTTCAGTTACTTAATTTATACCGACTACCCCAAAGACTGAAACAAACTGTGTGCAGTGAATTACTCTAAGTTACCCCAAAAACTTAAAGGTGAGGAGAAAAGCTCGGGGAGAGCACGGTCCATGAAGAGAGTGCTGCTGATCATATGCCAGGTAGATGGTACAATGAAAAGGATCAATTGATAACATTAGAGCCTTAAAGGAATAAGGAAGTGGAGTGAGAGATGAGTCAGTTGACAGGGAAGTGAATGCACTTTGCCATTGGTCTCAGCTGAGGTCCATAAACTGTGCTCTCAAAGAAGTTTTCAGTTTAGATGGGAACCTGAATTTTGTTCTCAGGCCTCAGAGAAGCTGCCATGTTTTTATCTTTTATCTGCCATGGGAGGACACACAGAAGGCTCAAGCAGAAACAGAGCCCAAACCATAAATGTTTTATGGATTAAAAGCTGTATCTTGAATTGTGGCAGGCAGTTGATACACAGCAGTGAAGCCAGGATTTTTTCCCAAATCTCCTACCTGGTGATGCAAACTAGAATTGCTGGGGACCTGTTGTCTTGGCACACAGGTATTCAGTAACATTTCATTTGTACAATGAATGCAACAATTATAAATACCAAAGATGACATCACTTCAGTCAAGAAAAACTTTAAAAGTATATTAAAAAGATCTGGTAAACCATCACATTAGATTTTGTTAAACAGCCCACAGCTTTGACAAAAGCAGCAATTACACAAGCAAAGCCATGTAAGAGTAGAAACGCACATACTGTTATATCACAACTGCCTCATGGACATTCTTGATCTTAAGATTCAACTGTATGTCTGGAGCAATGCCCAGTTGAGTTACCTAGCCTTCTTACTGGATATAGAAAATATCAAACCAGCATAAAATATTCCATACAAACACTAGCACGTGTTCACACAAAGCACTCAGAATACATGATCACTGAGACAGTAATAGTAGGGGGGAAAAAAATCACTGTAATGCTTCCCTTTATTAATACCTTCTAGAATTATTTTGCTGATGTGAAAAGGGTTTTATTGTTGCACTTCATTCTACCATGCTGAAGCTTCAAGAGAATTTCCTAAAGTTTAGGTTTAAGTCACAACACTGAACATTCAGTTGTATTCACTGTAGATCTTAGACTCTTTTGCACTTCCCCTAAGAAGCAGTTTAATAGGCCCTTTTGTGGGAAACTATCTAAACACCCAGGGCACCACCTATTGGTCAGCCCACATTTATTTTCCATTTTCCCAAAAAGGCTTTTTTCTTTCTTTTTTTTTTTTAACTATTTCAATTGAAACAATTCCCCAGTGGGAGTATGATGAGGTCAGAGTTCTTCAAGTCAACTATGCTCAGAACATTAGTATTTATTTCTATTGTATCAGTGCCCAGGGATCCCAAACAGAGATTTAAACTCCATAGTTCAGGGCTCTGTAGACATAAACTCAAAAATGGTCCTTGCCTCTGAGTGCTCACAGAGTCCTAGTTTTAAACAATAAGCAACCACCAAACAAACCAAACAGGGTGGAGGGAGTTACAATGATGTCAGTGGGCATGTCTATACATGTGCTTTACTGCTCAGTAGACAAATTTACTGCATAGTAAAGTGTCACCATCTACATGTGTGCAGCAACTGGGCCAGTGTAAAGTAATTTAAAGTGCCATTGGATAGTCCTGTCAAACACAGGTACTACCCAGTGGCAGAGTAAATTACTTTGCTTAAATACATGTGTAGATGGTGATGTTGGGATTAGTTTACTCTGGTTCAAATTGCACCGGAGTTTATCAGTCACATTAATTGCATGTGTAGATGTACCCAGTAGTTCCAGGAAGCAGTGGTGAGCTGCAGGCATCTTGGCCAAAGCGGGATTTCAAAGCTGTTGCTTTGTGAGATGAATTGGAGGATACTTCCCAAGCATAAGGGTCAACATGGGAGAAATCATATGGTATTCATGGGGAAAAAGCAGACAAGTAGGCAATCAAAGCAACAGCTGTTGGCAGAGCAAAGCAGGGGGTTGACATTATGATAAATAATTTGTCTTCTTACCTCTAGGACTGCTCAGCAGCTCCAGTATATGAATTTTATGAACCACCCTGAAGCAAATCCCTTTTAAGTCTAATGTTCAGAATACTCTGTTTAGGTAGACAATCAGTGCAGATGTATGTCATCCTATGTATTTCCAATACAATTTAACCAGATGACTATATTGCTGAAATCAGGGATATTTACAGTGGCACATGTAGGTTTTGTTCCCAACTCCTTTCAATAGGTGTTTAACTGTCAAATGTGCCTTTGATAATCTTCAAAATGTTCTTTCTTCATCCCACACTGAAATCATCTGATAGAGTGTTCAGCACTGTTTGTGCAGATGCTGTTCTAAGGACAACACAGAAATCTAGCAAAGATACATTTCACTGTTTAATAATGTGTAGAGCTTGCATTTTCATTTTAAAAAGTGTCAGTCACTGAAAATAAAGCAGACATCCTAGATCTCATGCATATTCTTAATGAAAACATCACGTATCCTTCTTCAAAATAATTTCTTTCAAGTACAAGGGACTTTTGCCCCCGGAGGCTAATTTAGCAGTTTTAATGCTTAATTAGCAACTTAGAGGAATCTTACAATACCTACCCCAGTGCTCTCCAGATAGTATTCACAAGAGAGAGTCTGTTTTGTCTGCAGGAACCTAATTCAAAATTGTGGCTTAGATGAGATCCTCTTAAGCTATTTGGAGTTCCCACAGGACAGTAGAACTACTACCAACATGAAGTCTTACAGCACATTCTTGTTAATCTGTTTCTATCAGTTGCAGCAAAGTTATTGTACATTCTCACCACTTGCAATAAGGGATGCTTGTAATGAATTGGTGACAAAGTGAATTCTGTCTCTTAACATCATGTCATAATAAAGCCAACCTTGTCCTGATACGCCCTTCTCACAGAAAACCCACAGAGAGGTTTCTATGGGTCCTCTGATACAGGTTGCAGCTTGAGAAGACTGCATGGCCTCTAAATCACACACATTCATATGGGAAGCACAGCACAAGTTTATTATTGCCCAGCCCATGGCTGAGCTCTCCCCTCCTCTGCCTCCTGGGGTTCTCCTTCCTGTAGCAGCAAGACTTATCAGTTACAAAACTGCTCCTCATCTGTTATCTTCTTAGCTGCACACTATTCCCCTAACTTTCAGTAGAGAATCACTGGAGTTAATAAGACTTGTGGCAGCCTCACCTCCTGTGTAGATTTCTCCTACAAAGGCTTTTGTATTAGGATGGACCATGCTACAAAGAGGCAAAAATGTACATCCCACTGTTTCTCTCCTTACACATGCAACCTAATAAACCCAAAGAGCCTCATCAGTGTTTACGGTAAAGAAAGAAGTGCTTGCATGCTGGAGATGCTGCATGAATCCCAGCCTTCCTATCTTCTGAATTTCTTTGCTGCTTTGGATATCTCTGATGGCAAAAAGGAACAAGAGCAACCTGTTTATTTCAGTGATTATCAGTCTCCAAGTGTAACAGTCACTTCCAGCGTCCTTGGGCTGTAGTTCTGGACATACACAAAGTGCTGGTATGGCCTCTAACTTGAAAGGACAGACTGACCAGTGATAAAGGCTCTAGACTAGAACCTGGGTTCCACTTGCTGTCCTACTACAGACTTCCTGGGTGACTTCTGGCAAGTGTCAGCGCTTCCATTCCCCAATTGTAAAATGGGGATCAGAGCACTGTCTGACTTGACAGGGGAGTTGAGACTTTGAATCACTTTAGTCCTACAGCAATAAGGGCTATCTCAGCATTTAATGCTTTTTGGGGTTCCTCCTTGCCTTCTTTTTGAAGTGGCAGTAATTAACAAAACTATTGCTTTGCTGCTGCCACTGGTTTGGCCTCACAGATAAGCAATGTCATTTTCACCTACAAGCATAATACTCAACCCCAGTTACTGCCCAGTAGGGCTGAGGTGTACTCATCATATGCAAGTTAAGTGAGCACTCAGATTACACTGGCAGGGAAATGCAGGTTTATCATACCACATCAGATCACCTGTTCAAGTACACTGCCTCCACCTACATCCAAAACATGATAAAAAGCCTCCACAATGAACCCAACCAATCTGTAGATGGCAGACAAATTCCTTCTTAGCCCACACAGATGGTGAACTTAAATCTTGAAGTGAGAAATTTCGCTCCATGTAGTTTTTGCTCATAAGAGCTTTTAAGTGTTAAGGATGCATTTAATCCTTCCAGTCTACTGACAGGATCTCAATTTAGTGTGTTGCTATAAATAAGGCCTAGGAAAAAGCTGAGACCATTGTAAACTCTTCTCCCTTTACTGGGGGTCTTACACTGCATGCAATGTTAGAGCCTTTGAGAGTTTAACCTGTACTAAGCCCTTATATCTAAAGGAAATGAAGAAGGGGGCAGAGGAGTAATATGGTCTAGTGGGGAATGAAAGGAACTCTGAGCCAGGAGATCTGGGCTCTATTGCATCTATCTGCAGCACAGCAGCAGTATGTCTCAGCCTGGGTGTTTGCAAGCCTACCCTACCTACCTACCACCAGCCAGACTCCAAACTCTGCAATGCGCCTGTGAGGTTACTCCAGAACATCCTGTAACTGCTCTGAAGGCCTGTCCCTGGCATGCTTGAATAACCATGGAGGATGTCCCAGGAAGCCTCACTGGCACATTTCTAGGTTTGGTGTGTGCTAGCAGAAGCAAGATGGACAGGACACAATGCTGCTGTAGAATAGGCATGGCAACGTGACACTGGGCGAACCACCACACCTGCCTGAGTGCCACCTCCTCCAGCTGTAAAACAGCCCCTTTCAGAAAATGCTTTAATATCCTATGAGTAAAATTATACTATATATTGCATTTGTTACTATTTATAGAGCAGAGCGGGATGCTATTGCTATGCATACTCCATACTGTAGAAGACAGAAACAAATTCTCACACAACAGGTGTCATAGTAAGAAGCTGAGTACACACCAGGAAATGAGATGCGTCGTTTCCAGCCCACGCAGTCTAAGCCTGTCGGGGTGCTCTGCGAAAACGGATGCAACTTAAGGGGAAGAATGTCAAAGGCAACAGCAGAAGCGATGGCCAAACTCATTCTAGCCTGCAAGAGAAAAGGAAAACACAGGAGATAGATATTATGCTTAGATGCCTTCGAGTACAAATTAATGGTTTCATCCTGAAATGTTTCTTTCCAGCTGTAATGCTTGTTAGCGTTATCCCAAAGTAAGTGTCTGCATAATCAGATTCTTTAGGACAGGGGGTAGGGGAGGGGAGGGGTCAGCCTATCCTATCAAAATAAGGCTTTTCTCTCAGATAGTGATGAAGAGAGCAAAGCTTCAAGGTAAGGGGATGGAAGAAGAGGTTATAAGAGCCATAACCCCTGGCACATGCATAGACAGCATGTTCATAGGTACTATTATCATCCTCAACTTGCATCTGTTTTGCTATAGAGATGCATTAAGTTATTTCCCTTCCTTGAAGCACACTCTGTGGGGGCAGGAAAACACAATACATTTCTTTGGAAAATTACATACCAGGAAGACAATTATAAAACATGGACTCATTCTTTCCATTAAATTTTTGCTCAGTAAGTCTTGAGTATGGATCATTTCACCAGTGGGAGGGAAAACAAAACTCTCTCATGGACAAAAATAGGAGGATATTCACAAAAGAAAAAGGCACTTTTCACTTGTGGGGAAAAAAAACCCTAAAAAACTGAAATGAAAATGAATGTGTTTGGGTTTTGACTATTACATCCCAACCATATTTTTTTAGTCAATTTTGCCATAACAAGATATATCTGGCCCACTTCATCTGCTGGCTTGGAACAGGAACTAGTGTGAACTCAGCAGTGGAAATAGGGATTTTACTGTCCTCTATAGTGTGTGGGCACGTTTCTTTTTTTAGGGTCTTCTGAGCACATATTAACCAACTACTTCCCTGTAATTACAGTGGCAGGGCATTGGCAGTTCCCTCATCTCCGCTGCTTTTCCCTATGGTAGGCTATAGGACAGTGGTTTTCAAACTGTGTTCTGTGGAAGCCTAAGGTTCCACAATAGGTCATCAGGCGGTCTGCAAAGATAAGAAAGAAACAGCCTAATGCTATTGCTGTGAACTGTCTTGAATTAAGTGTGAAACAGCACTGGCAGTTATCAAGAGATAGGGCAAGCTATTTGAACCATCAGGACATGGAAATATCCTTCAAGAGCAAGACTTTTCTGTCCACTTAAAAGCAACAACAGCTCTTGTCCCATTCCAGAATGGGAATGCTGCATACCAAGCATCTCTCAATTAACTCTTCAGAGAATGGGATGACATGTGAGATGTTAAAGGTGGGTATAACAATGTACAAGTACAGATCAGGCACAGCTAGGAACAATATTGCACATGATCAAAGACATCCAAATTTGGTGTGGAACTACTTGGTGAAACATGAGGCAGATGTGTTTTTACTGCTTTCCCCTGCCCACCTCATGTCATTACTGTTGCTTATCTACCCCCCCACTTCTCATGCCTGGCAGCCACACAGACTATTAGTGACTACAAACTTAAGAAAAGTAAGGTTGGCTTTCATGGGTATGATCTCACCACCATTACTGTTCCCTTCTTTTATTTCAAGTTTTCCACAGATATAACATCCTTATCCTCCAATCAAGCAAGGGTCAGGGGTATTTGGGTCCAATATTCAAACCAGGATCTGTCCCGTTTTCTATTCACCTATGCTCTGTCATCAACAGCCTATTCATTTCTTCAGAGATTATTATCCACAGGCCTATAAAGCAGCCAGAAGTGCCACCCAGACTTGCCTTCTGCAAAAAGGCTCCTTCAAGAAAGCTGTCTCTCAGCAAAATAATCTCAGTCTTCTAAAAGGAAAAGCAAACCCACCCTATATGCTGTTTGGGGAGCTGAAATGATGTTATTCAATTCTTGCTCCTAGGGTTTACTGTACTGTAATAAGGAGAACACAGCCAATGTTTTGGCACAAATTGCTATCTCCAGAGTGATAGCATAAACCCTGTGCAAATTAACCTAACCAACACCTGTTTGTCTATAAAACAACAAAGAAGCCCCAGTGGGGGCAGACTCTCTTCCAGTGATGACACGGCCAGGCAAAACAGGCAAAGCATAAAAATGCATCCAGAAAATACCAAGGGTGAAGTCTAAGTTATTTTCCTGGAACAGAAGGAGAAGGCATTATTCTTCTCTTGAAACTAAGAAATGTGATGATATATGATGCAGTCTCACTACCGCGACAAGAGAATTTCTGGCTGCCCGCTGGTAAATTGTAAAAGAGGTTTCAGCTTTGGCTATTTCTATGCCCACAAGCACAGCATACCCTGCCTCCTCGGAGTTCTAGGTCTGGGAGAAAAATGTTTCTACTTTCCTGTCTTTTCTTTCTTAAGGTGTACAAAAAAGGAGGGGGGATTGTACCTCATCAAAACTCTAATCCAAAGTACCTTGGTTATCTCCCCAGACCAGATCCAGTATGCTGTAATTACAGATCTTAATAGAAGGTAACCTCTTTATGTTAAGAGAGATGTGTCCTCTTTAGGATGGGGAATGGCATGTTTTTTGCTGTGGACAAACAAAACAACTATACCAATTTAAAAAGAAAAAATGGGCTTATCGTTTGTGAGCATCGGGGATCCGGGTTTTCAGTTTCCCACAGAAAAACAAAGGAAACCACGGATTTCCTGCCTTCATCAGAAAAAAAACGGATTTCCCTTTTAGCAGAGATACCCGTGGATTTCCCACATTTGCAAAGAGCTCTGTAGACTGGCAGAGTTCCCGCCTGCAAGAGCTAATTGCAAAAAGGGTGGGAAACCCCCAGACCTGCCCAGAGGGGGACGGAGAAGGGGAAAGGGCAGGCAGGGCCTGAGGGTTTCACTCAGCGAAGGCTTGGCTCAGGCTCACTCTTTTTTCCTGGAGCCTAAGATAAGTGGGGCTTGCAGAGGGCTGGGGGTTCCCTCAGGCAGGGCTGGAAGGTTGTGGGTTATGGCTGGGGGGCACCGGCAGGGCTGGAAGAGGCCCCTGGGTGGTAGGTGTGGGTATGGGTGACTGCCAGGGATGTGGAAAGAGCCAGCAGGGCAAGTGGGGGGCAGGGCATAGGTGTGTGGCTGGGGGCTGAGGGAATGGGGAGATGTTGGGGGCAGCCCCAAATGGAGTGCCTGCCTGGCCGGCAGCACATGGACCAGGAGGAGAGTGCTATCAGCCCTCCAGGGAAGCTGCAAAGGGAAGCGTGGAGCCCACTCAGGCTAATAGCATGCCACTCCCGGTCCATGTGCCGCTGGCCAGGTGGGCACTCCACGTGGGGAGGGAAGCAGGAGAGCAGGGAAGAGCAGAGCCACAGGAAGAAGCTGTTTGTCGCTGTGAGTTTCACCCTGCTTCTCTCCCCCGGGGCCTTCGCAGCCCAGTGGGCGCAACCCGGCGCAGCAGGAAACAGTGGCACCATGCAGAGAAGCTGCTCACCGCTGCAAGCTTCACCTACGTGCGGGCCTGCAGTGAGAGCAGCAGCGCGAGGCTGCACCTCTCAAAGCAATGGCACGGCACGCACATGGGGTGCATTGCCAGGGCAGTGTGGAGCTCACAGTGGCGAGCAGCATCTCCGAGCAGCTCCACTCTTCCCTGCCATTTCAGGTCATGCCCGCTAGGCTGCAGAGGTCCCTGGGCAGGGCACCAGGGAGGGAGCCCACAGCCCGCGCCTGCCCCATGCACAGATCTGGGGGGCATGGGCCCCCCCAGCGCTTCCCCCCGCCGCAGCAGGAAGCAAGGGGGAGTGGGAGTAGGGGGATATGGACCCAGGTCCATAGCCCTGGCAGCTGGGAGACTTCTCCTGAAGGGCTGGGGAAGCAGGGACTGGTGGGGGGGTGAGGGGCACCAGGAAGGCTGGGGGGCGGGGGAGTGAAAGGCACGAGCAGGGGCCGGTGGGGCTGTGGGGAGCCTTTAATTTGAATCACGGATTTTGGGGCTTTTATGAGAGAATTTATGATTTTATATGAGGGAAAACCAGGATCTCTGGTAAGCATGCACCTGCTGATCTGTTTAGTAAGCCTGCTTCTATCCACACTGAAGGGACGCTGAACTGAATCAGCTTACTCTGAAATGAAACAGCAGCTAAATTAGTGTGACTTAGCTTTCACTGACTACAGGATACAGAGGGGTACATGAAACAGTTATCAGCTTGAAACACAGAAAATCCTCATCACCTTCTTAAATCAGTATAATTGTTTCATCTGTTTCTACTCTTGACATTTTTTAAAACTCAGATAGTTTTTTTCCCCAGTGACACTGACGAAGCTCCACCAAAAGTTAGTGGGATTGCACTGGTGTAACAGAGAGGAAGATTTGTCTCTGCATGTGTGCATACAGATACTGTACCATGGATTTATTATGTTACAGTAGGTTTCCTTTTCTTCTATGTATAGATTTTAACTGGCCAGTAATATAATGGGACATTACATATCCTTCAATTGTCCTGTCAATGTTAACAGTTTTTACAATTAAAATTTGAACTGTCACTGGGGTTTCTTCATTCCACAGGTTTGGACTCTCTCTCATAAGAAAAAACTGCTTGAATAAACCTAGGAGACTGGGCTGCATTAGTAAGAGTGTTGCCAGCAGATCAAGGAAAGTGATTATTTCCCTTTATTCAGCACTGGTGAAGCTACATCTGGAGTACTGTGTCCAGTTTTGAGGCCCCCACTACAGAAAAGATGTGGACAAATTCGAGAAAGTCCAGCAGAGGGCAATGAAAATGGTTAGGGGGCTGGAGCACATGACTTTTGAAGAGAGGCTGAGGGAACTGGGCTTTTATTTAGTCTGGAGAAAAAAAGACTGAGGGGAGATTTAATAGCACCCTTCAAGTACCTAAAGGGCAGCTCGAAAGAGGATGGAGCAAGACTGTTCTCAGTGGTGACAGATGACAGAACAAGAAGCAGTGGTCTCAAGTTTCAGCAAAGGAAGTAAGTTAGATAGGAGGAAAAACTTTCTTACTAGTAGAGGGTAGTAAAGCACTGGAACAGGTTACCCAGAGAGGTGGTGGAATCTCTATCCTTAGAGGTTTTTAAGACCCAGGTGGACAAAGCCCTGACTGGGATGATCTAGTTGGGAATGGTCCTGCTTTGAGCAGGTGGTTGGACTGGATGATTTTCTGAGGTCCCTTCCAGCCCTAATTTTCTATGACCCTGATTCTATCACTCTACCAGGTCTACCTAATATTGCATGTTTAACTGCAGCCAAAATCAAGTTAAGATTTAACTTGGAAGTGAGGAGGAGAGAAGAAAGAGAGAGAAGAAATGTATGTTGCCAACTTGAACAAGTCTTCCAAAGTAATTCTGGTAATAGACTGAAGCAATTCAAAGCTGTGATACTTCCCAGCCCAAAAGAAAAAAATAAAATACAGAGAACAGTTTAGTAGACACTGATATTGCTTTAGTCTTCTGAATGCGTGGTCGCGTCAAAATAATTAACTGTCTAAATGCTCCAAACTGTATAGTTGGTCCCTCCACTATGTGAATGAATGCAAGTCTGTGAATGGGCAAAATCAAAGTCACCAACAATGACATGAATTTATCTGATTCTTCTTCAGGGGATTTTACTTCAAAGGTTAACCGCAACCAGCTAAATGTTAACACTTTAAAGTGTGAGATCAGAAGATGCTCAGTTTGTTACTGGCAGCATTACATTGCAAGGGACAGCAGAGTCCAGATGAGTACAGCTTTGTCAGGGACACTGTCAGGGACAGCTGAGTCCAGCTTTGACTCAAGGGATTTATGTAGATTCTTCCCATTCAAAGTATATCTTCAGTTTACTGGACACAAGCAAAAAAAGACCATTATTTATAACTGCTTATGACTGATGTGTCTAAGGTGTTTTACTTGGTTTTAAAGGCATACTTTTTAGTATTCATCCCCACCATAGATCCTAATTGCTTGCCATTTCTAATTGTCTGATAATAAATACCTTTGCATTTTCATCTGGATCTCCATGTTGGTTTAGAGAAGCCCACAGAATTATAGTGAACATTACTACTGAAAATGTGGGATGTGTTTTTTCTTGTGCCCCGTCTGTCTGAATTAGTTGCTTCTGCAATATGCCGGCATTACATCACCAGATATGCTGACCTGATACTGACTTAACATAATGCAACTCATCAGAACTGAAGTCACACATCCCAAGGCATCTATGTGTCAGAAAACATCAGACTTACAACTTGTATCTCAAAATCCCATTCAGTTGCATTATCTGGTTTCAATCACAGAATCACAAAAGAAAATAAGCATTTCTCAAGACTTTTTTGTTATTACTTCTCTTTATAAAACGACTACAGTATTCGACTGTAACAGTCCCAATTGCAGCTTTTGATAGTGCTACTGCAATGATTTGCAACACTGCTGAAGAAAACTGTTGTATTATTTTTAAATATATGATAGAGTCCAAAGCCAATAGCAAACAGAGGAAATCAATGTTTGAGGAGAGCAGTGAACAGTATAGGAAGGGGATACCTCTGAGCCAGCAATTACTGTCATCAGTAAACAACACATGTTATGGAACCTAATTATATACAGGATATTAAAGGAAAATACAGTTTACATTTTTCATCAGCCTAACTGGTCCAAGGATCTCAGCATTGTAACTGCATTTGGACTAGTGATGACAAGAATTCCTGATAGCTCATTGTACACACCTGGCCCATTCTGCAAACCAGTTTGATGCAGTCAGAACCAACTACATGCTGCCATATATCTGGAATCAAAAACCTGTTCCCCTGCCGCTCTCCCCTGCCTCAAAAAGTAGGACAGGATAAAAAAGTGGTTTTCTCCTGATAGAGATAACGAGTCCTCAAGGCATGGGAAGTTTAGTGACAGTATCTCAGTGGGAGCAAGTGTAGCCATTACTCTTACACAGCCAATCACAGGTTAAAGTTATTCAGTATCAGACAAACTGCAGAGAGGTTTAAAGGAGACAGCATTTATTGGTAGCAAGGAGCAGATTAGCCTACCCAGAAGATCAGTAAAATAAAGAGTGTTTGGGCCTAATTAAAGAATGAGAAAAATAAAAGCTGAAGAGATAATTGGTCACCCTTTCCACAAATGTTCATGATCTAGATGACAGTGAACATGCACTGTAGCATTAGATTTCCATCACCACTCAACTTGTCAAGTAATGATTATTATTTTTAACACAATTTACTGGATTTTGTTTCTGAGGGCTTATAAATCAGTCTTGAAAAGAATCTCTTATCTTTGGCTCAATTTGTGTCTTGAAACATCAATAGTTTCCCTGGAGTTTTGAACAATACTGAAAATAATGATTGCTTTTCTTGAAAGACTTCAGCCGTTTCAGTAGCATCAGTCATTGTCAGCAGGACCCCGGAAACAACTGGCATCAGCCTTTAAGGTGCTGAATGCCCTCAGAGTGCTGAGGGATTGTAGCACATGGAAGGATCAGGTCCAGCATTTGTTATTGACACTCCAACAATTTATATAATATTTTGGCATGGTGTGAAATCATGTGTACAGAACTTTTGAGTAGACAATGGTGGATAATTTTTCAGAAGTACATCTTTGGAGACAATCTGTCTTGTTGAATTAGATTTTAACTACTTGAGAATAGGCCTTATCTTGATCTAATGCCCCAACCCTGCAAATGCTGATGGATGCCCCAAAGTTCAGCATGAGAACGGTTTTGCTGCCTTCAGCAGAAGTTCTCACATACATAGTTAGGCATGAGCTTTGCATGATCAGGGCCTCTTCTCCTCAACCAGCGTCACTTTAAACAATGATAACCAGACACATTCACACCACATTGAGAAAAGAACATAAATGCAGACAACTGACCAATACATAAAACGGAAAAAGAATTTTTATTTGAAAACCTACCTCTTGCTTCCAAAACTAATTGAACAGCTTTTCGATTTTATTAACAGCAAGTTGCACAGAGCTGTCTCCCCTCTGATATCCCCAACCCTATCTCCCTCTGTACTGTTAAGCACTCTTTATAGGACAAATTCTAATTGTGGCTCTAACTAAAGGGAGTGGGAAACTTGGCCATGCATCAAGCAATCCAGTGTGCAATTTGCATGAATGCATAAGAATAACCCAGTTCTTAAAAGATAACCCTCCACTGGCTAGTAGGCCAGTGAGGTTTTCATACCAACAGGCATCTGTCAAGCTTCTTCCTTTTGAGAGTTTTGCCTGAGCAAGAAGGGAAGAATTGGCTCAAAAGTAAGGAAGAAGGGAATGGTTTTCTTCATTGCAGCAATGCCCAAGAAGTAAACATAGCATTAATTAAAGATTTCATCAGCACATTTTTTATTGACATGAACAGACCATTTTGTTCCTCAACTTTCTATTGTCCCTTCCATCAAGAAAACAATTTGCTACCTTGACTCCCCACAGCAGAACGTGTGACAGCATAGATGCTGCTCCATTACAGCAGCAAAGCAAGCCACCTTCTTTCAAGACAGTCACTGTGCTGGTGTATTTAGTGTTATATACAGACTATTAGCCACAGAGGACAGCAGAAGAAACTGGTGCAAGATGTAGCCTGAAGAGAGAAGATGACAGAAGAAAGAATCAGCTGGAGTGGAAAGAGGAAGACAGAGCCAGAGAAGAGGATGATGTCCAATTTCTTACTTTTACTTGGTCCTCAGGGAGGTTACTCCATTGGATTTCCCTCTGTGGCTCCTTCTCGAGTTTCCTTTTCCGGTTCCTTTCCATCCAAATGTCATCGAAGCTGAAATGCTTGTAAAGGGGTTTGGGCCGCCTCCTCTGTGAAGTTTCCTTGGCTTTTCCATCCGAAGTGAGGAGAGGGAGTCTCCAGCCTTTGTTTTCAATGCTTGAGAATGGGCGTGGGGATGGCAGTGTCTGAGGAGGTTTCTTTTTTCGATGGGGAACCCATTTCTCACAGGACCTTTTTTCAGGTGGTGTTTGACTTTGCTGTTTAGGATCCTGTTTTATAAGCAGCAGGTGAAAACACAGGAGGTTTTTTATCATGTTGAACAGCTGACTACAATGCTCTGGTGACAGGGCCCAAAATCATTTGGGAGGGATCATCCTTCACTGGAGCTGTGCAAGACTCGCCCTCCCCCTTCTCCTCGGAGAGGAACCTTAGAGCCAGACCGGCACTGCATATTTTAATCACCTTCCTTGTTTTTAATAACCCATCAGAAACTTGAAACTGACATCTGTTCCCATTAATAAGATAAAGAAGGAAAAATTCTGTGACAAAAAAACTACAATCAATAAGGGGCAATTTGATGGCTGTGACAAATCAAGTTAATTGGAAAAATGGCCAATATCATTCTGGACCTACCAATCTTCTCATTTTAAACTACGGTCCAATTATTACTGATGTAGGCTCTTCAACATGCTGTTGCCCAGAAATACTGTTTTTATACAAGAGCCACTTAAGAACAGGGATTTTAGAAGGCATTTAACATGCCCAATATGCCATAGGAAAGACTGTGGCAGTAAGCCACAGCTCACAGACTGGGAAGGAAGCCAGTGGCAGACTCCTGACCAACTGACAGGTACTGAGGTACCGCATCGCAGCTAGCCATCCTTTATGTGATGCAATGCATGGTCCTTTCTGCACTGAACTGTACCTGGGTTGCCTTCTCCTAGAATAATGCAGCAATTCCACTCCCTGAACCAAAGCTAGCAGAAAAAGTGAACCATCGTCTTCACTCACCCTAGTACATCATCTTCACTCACCCTAGTGCACTAGTACAAGGCCAATTACCATCTAGTCTGGAGTGTTTTATACCAGAGTCACAACTAGAACTTAAGTCAGTACAACCCTGTGATATTGCTTGGAAGGAGAGATGATGCCTTTATAAATGGAATAACAGTCAAACTTGCCTGTCTGTTTTTATTCCCACTGTCCCTTCATTATGAAAGGTGATGTTAAGCTCCTGGATGCCTGAAGGTCTGACATACTGAGGCCAATGCTTTCTGGTGTTGCATTAAATGTTATCCATACTATTTGCCTGACATTCAGCTGAGAAGCTGGGGAGCTTGGAGAGAAGATATGGATAGCTATGGGCTTCACTCCCATTCTCTTTCAACATGCTGCTGCAGTGCTGCACAAAATACCCACTTTTACACAAGAGCCACTTAACAGCAGGGAAGTTGGAAGGTATTTAACTACTAATCCAAACAGCAGCAATATGAAGTTTGATGATACCGAAAGTGAGCTAAGTTAAGGTGCCAGAGTGCATCTTCCATGTCAAGGAGATTTATTTCCTGAGCAATACTACCTCCCATTATACCCTAGTTCAGCGGTTCCCAACCTGTGGTATGTGTACCGCCAGGGATATGCAGACAACCTGTCAGTGGTACGCGTTAAGATTCATTACATTTACTTTATATGACAAAAATTTGCTGGTGGTACTTAAGGTTGAACTGAAAAATTTGCTGGTGGTACTTAACGTTGTAACTTTAAGTGGTGGTGAGCAATCTGTCAGAGTTTGGGAACTGCTGCAGCCTAGTTCATTTGAAAAACCAAATGAGGCATTTTCATTGGTCTTAAACTGAGTCCCTATATACATCATGCTGTCCTAGTTTAGTTCTAGTTTGCAAATGGCAAATTATAATACAGTCCAGCTGTGTTACACATCCATACTAGGGCTAAGGGAAATGTGGAGAGAGAGGAATAATGCTTCTAATAAATAGCCCCTAAGCCTCACTGTGTCAGGGAAAGATTGGGAAACAGGAAGGAAAAGGTATGGGAAAAAGTATGGGACTTCAAGTATAAGATGTATCAGTTTGTTACTGCCTGATGGATAGCACAATTACATAAGTAAAAGCATGTCACAAAAAATCAGATTAATTAGAGTCACTGTAGGGCCCCATCTAATGCAAAACATTGGCCCAAGGGCAAACTGTCAGTTTTGCAGAACTGGCTTGTTCTGTATTGCTCCTTTCAGCACAAATCTCTGTGCCCTACAAATGAGTTGGAGCATGTTGACTATTTTGTGGGGCATTGGGAAGGTTTTTGTTGTTGTTGATGATGATGATCTGCCTTTAAACACAAAAGAAAAGTTACTTATCCACTCAGTAACTTCAGTTTTTCAAAGATGTGTTGTCCCAGTGCACGTTGCACTGTGGTTATGCATGAGCTCCGTGCACTCAGACAGGAAGTTTTACCACCACTGTCCACTTCAGTCTGCACATGCACCCTAGCTGTCCTCATTAAACCAAACGGTGGGTATGAAAAGCACTGTGGGACCAATGTCTTCCAGTTCCTTGTCTACCAAATATATAGACACATACAAATCAGAAGCAGAAGGTAAGAGGATGGTTAGTCAAAGGGACAAAACATCTTGAAGGAATCCAGAAACTGAACTGGTAAGTAATCTTTCTTTCTTCTTCTATAGCTTGTCTCTGTGCACATTTAAGACTTCTAGGCCACATTATAATAGACACACCCCTGTTAATGATGGAGAATGGGACTGACTAGGACTTGTTAAGAGAACCATACTTTATGTCTGTACTAAAGAAGGGAGAGACAGAAGGTTTTTCTCTCGTCAGTGCCAAAGGATGTGTGGTAGCACATCAGTGTCTGGAAGGAGCCAATATCAAACTTTCGCTCTACACTGTTCTCACAGAAGATAAAGAGGGCCCCAGCTTGATTTCTTTTGTATTAAGGTACACAGATCTGTGCTTCAGTTACTGGAGCATAAATACTTTGGGTCCCTTACCAGGATAAAGGGTCTCCTGGCACTTATAGCAGAACACAGAAGCTCATCTCTTCTTCAAGAATTTTAAAGGTAATTTAAGCCTTTTCTCCCCTCTCAGTTGCTTTTCCTGTTCTTCATTTTCCCTCCTAGAAGATGATCTAAGATAATTCTACCCTTAAGAGAAAGATCTAAAGTCCCTAGGTCAAAGCTGAGGGAAGGCTCTTAGATTCCTGAGCCTGCTGCATGAGGAAGCCAGAAGGACCTGAATCAGATTCAGGCCTTACAGGCTTGTCCACAAGAAATATTCCAAGGGGCACAGCCCTAGATTCCTTGACTCTTTGAGAGAAAGATTTGAGGATACTGCACTTTAAGGAGCTCAAATCCACCCTAGCCACCAAAGACAAGTATTGTGGTGGTCAGTTAGCAGGAAGGATTGCTGCTAGTTCTTGAATTCTGGAGACTTAAATTTTGGCTGAGAGTAAAGAAGAGTGGTGGATCCAGGCAGCAAAGAGAAAAGGAGCAACTAATATAAGAAACCTTCCTCAAACTCCCAAATGTACTATACAACTGTACTAAAAAGTTTAAATTTAAATTACATTCACAAATTAGATAAAAGCAGTCTGTACTCAATGTGGACAGTGGTGCTCCATCTCAGACCATACTGAGAAGGAAACAGCACAGCAGCTGATTCCTCACTGTCCTAGTAACCCACAATTCAGTACACCAGAATAGCATGCATAGACTAAATGGACATTGCTGGCAGTGGCTCTGGTTTCCAATGCACGTGCACCCCACAGCAGAAGGCACACAGGGACAAGCACATCAAAAACTACTCAGCAACAGGTAAGGGGAAGGAGTTTTCCTTTTAAATCTACTATTAAGCATAATTTCTGACATCTTTTAAATAGCAACAGACACCTAGGGGGACAGTCTTGGTTACAGATTTGGTAAAAGTACCTGGCAACAATTCAACACTATAATTTTAAAATATATTGTTCAAAACCAATACTGGGTTTTCAGAGCTTCGTGGTAAAATTTCCCCAAGAGCATGTCTGTGTCATCCAAGGACCATGCAAAGGTGCCCTGCAGTGAAGTATGGCATGCTCTGATATGGGTGTAATTTGGCTACTTTGAGCTGCATTGGATGTGTTCCAGTAAGATCCATCTCTGGCAGGCTTATTAATATTTTCTCAGTACCAAATAAGGCAGCTGTGTTGCGTTCACTTTGGGGTATATTGTGTGACCTGAGTGTGCCACCCTTCATTCCACCACTCCCTAGCATGGGTTTTTTGATGACGTAATTGTATCCATTAGCTAAAATACATAGGGCTCAGTTCTATCCTATTTCCCTTGTCTAATCAACCCAAAATAACATTTTCTGAAGGTTCTGTATAATGTATCTGATTTTGTCTCCTGGAGCTGGTAAGATTATAGTAATACCTAGGCTCCAGCTGCTTTTAAACAATTAACTCCAGATAGTCATATTCTGCAGTATGAAAACAGCCAATGTATGAAGCAATGAAATTCAATTTTAATGTTCATGTTTTAATTTGAATTATTTAGATTAGCTACAGATTTAAGCATTTATTTATATGCTCGTAATGCCCAGATTCTAGATCTGGGTTTACACATTCAAGGCTTTACATGCTTCATCTCTTCTTTCAATATATGTGAGCTTTTGGATTATTATGTATCAGGTCAGTGCTTTTGTTCAAGCCGCAAAGGGCTTTCATAATCTGACTGTGTTAACAGCATGCTATCTATCCCTGCTTGAATTCCTTTTTTAATGTTTTATCGAGATACGGATTTCCTTTAATTTGCAAAGTGCTGCAAGATACTTGTTTTACATGCAACACAATGTATTCTGAATACATTTTGTGAGTGAATCGATGCTCATGAAAATAAGAGATTCACTATCACTGGGTAAAGTCAGGCATTGTGTGGGAGGAGATGAGCAATTCCCACACACAGTAATTCCAGTATTGCATCTCTCATTTGTGACATGCAGTCCATCTGCTTATTTTGTTTCCAGACAGCATTAGTTGCAAAATGCACTCAGAGCAGAGACCAAAAAAACTCATCTTTACTGGTATCTTTAAAACTTAAATTTTAAACTGGGACTACAGAAGGGAAAGGGCAGTGCTTTGGCTGAATATGCTACCTGCACAAGCCCATAAGGATTGTCTTGTAAATATACTTTTGATCTGGATGCTGAGAAGGGATTTTTGCAACAGACCTTTTGGTATATGGGTGATCAACACATTTTACATCATAACTGCGTAAGGCATCCACCAGCACAAGGCAGTGCAGACAAGACAGAATCTCATGCACAAGGCCTCGCTCAAAATGCCTTTCATCAAAAGTTTTACTCTTTTTTTTAAATCAATGCTAAACTGCAGTGACTCACCTCAGCCTCAGTATGTCAGAGATGGAGTGCAGCCAAGCCAGCTTTTCAAGACCTGCTGTAATTATTTACCTGTATGCTCCCCACTTTGTGAGTGGAACAGGTTCATAACCCCACCCCAAAATCACTAGGGATACCAGAACCAATAGAAATAAAAGGATGGCATTGCCAATGGCTCCAAGATGTTTGAGATTAAACCCTTTTTTATGCCCCTATTGGAGAGATGTATTATTCCCTTACTAGTTACCAGGAATCAAGTTCATTAAGATTATTAGCTGTATCCATGCACATTGACTAGATTTACAGTTCACATTCATTGTCTTTCTGCTGTTGAGGAGGTGGGGGAGTGGTGATAGGGAGCATTCAACAGGCAGTTATAGCAACAGTGATTTCCTTGTGGTATTCTCAGACAAATCTGTTTAAAATCAGATTTAACTTACTTTTGCTTCTGTTTGCCCCTGAAAACCAAGGCTAGATCAGTTAAAAGTGTTGAGCTGATTTCTTGTTTGCCTTATGCACCAACAGACTTGTTTACTAGGTGCCAGCTACCGGGCTCAGTTCTGCCTTCAGTTACATTGTAAAACCCAAGTGAAGACAGTGCCTGTGCATGGGTGTAACAGAAGACAATATTTGGTCTGTGCAAGATGCAACACTTTTGCCAGGTGAATTTGCCCATTCTGGGGTAAGTTTGCAGGACTGGCAGGTAGGACCCCACCTCTTCTCTTACTCTTCATCTTTTTATCTAATCTTAAATCACAGAGAAGTGATATATACAGCGAATCATGATGCCAATTGTACAGAGTCCCATTTTGAAGTAACACTGCTGCAAGGGAGTTTAGATTAAAGAAGAATCCCCCATGGCTAACAAACAACCAGCAGTTATTAATGTTCACTGCTGTACTTAAAGAGAGGTGTTTTAATCCAAAACCTACCTGATTTATTAACCAAGTTCCACTACCAGCTCTTGGAAGTCCCTAAGCCCAGTACAATGCTGCAAACCACACTGAGCCGAGGTCTGACTTCTCATAAAACCACTCACCTCATCTCTGAGAATATCACTAACCGAAGAAGCTGTGTTCAAGCTGATCTGGGATTGACTGCTTATCCCACTGTCTTCCCTCTGGTATTCATTGTCCAGTGAATGCATGGAAAGCAAGAGACTACCTCTAGGTTTCAGGGTCTTTGGCCTTTCTGGTGCCTCTGAACTGCTGTCGATTGCAGAGTTGTTCCCAAGAGAGATCATCGAAGTGGCACTTATTCTCCCAGGATAATGGACACTCCTGCATTGAAAACCTGGTCTTGAGCTCCATGGTTTGGGGCTCATGGGCCTACAGGGCATATCTTTGCCTTCATATGTTGATAGCTGGGGGCAAGAAGGGCTTAACTGGGTAAATGACGAGTGCAAGTCACTGGGGCTGAAGGGTGATTTCAGCCAGTACTCCTCCAGGGAAGCATCTAAACTGTTGCTCAGTGCTTCCTGCTGCTCATCATCATCTGGGCTTTGTGGACATTTGATAGTCAGGTCATAAGACAGTACTCTTTTCCTCCTCATATATGCAGGGGTAGAGACATCAACATGCTCCACAGATGTGTCAAAATGGTTGGTATCTGGATAGGTGCCATTAGATACACCTGATCTCAAAAACACTTGCCCATTAGAACCCTCCTGCTTCTCTGTGGAGGTCCTCCTTGCAGCACTGCCAGGACCTTGCTGCTGATTTCTGGTGATATTAAATCTCTCCTGGGTTGGTGACATACTCACAAAGGCAGAGCTCTTCAGCCCATCTGCTTCTTTGCTTTTCAGAAATGCTTTCCAAGAACTTTGGCGAAGTTTGGCTTTCTCTTTGTCATGTTTCAGTGGCACTTTGGAGCATTGCTCATTGTTTTCCTTCTCCAGAGATCTGGACTCAAATAAACTTGACAAGGATTTGTGTGCCAAGGCCAACCTTGTGCGAAACTTTTTACCCTCAGGGGTTTTATTTCTTTTACACTCGATCTCAGATGAGGATCTTCTGATCCCAGACCACGCTGCAGCTTCATTGGGGTTATTTTCCTCTGAAGCTAAAGTTTGTCCTTCAAGGGATTTCACAGTATTGAGGGTGGGAGAAGTAAGATTCGTTTCTATGTCTTCCATCAGTAACCGACCAGAGCTAGAGGCTTTCCTCAGGCTTAATCTGTTGAATAATCCTGCCGGTCTCTCATAGAATAAATCCTCATCATCAGAGTACTCAGAGGTGTAGCTTTCTTTCCTTTGAAAGACAGAAGTAGGGGAATAATTTTTAAAAGACTGCATGATTTCTGTATCACCTTCCTCTTTCCCAGTGTCCAGTTCTTCTGTCTTTGTCTTGCCACCAAGGAAGCTGCTACTACCTTGATTTTCAGCAGGTGCTGACTTAGTTTTCCTGAAGGATGCCATTTTTGAGAAAACTAAAAACTTGGAAGGTTTCCCAGTGTTCCCAGTCTTGGTCTGTTTTTGCACAGCCTTGTAAAAGCTACTGTTGTTCCCCAGGAAATGGAATAAATTCTCATCCATTTCCTCACTGTTACCACTGCCTGTACTTACATTATCTAGGCCCACTGTGGAGGAATCCTGGCTGTCCCTTTTCACAGCATGGTTACAAGTATCGGTCCCATTCACATTCTGTGCAATGTCTTTGCTAAGGTTTGCTGGCTCCTCTTCAGCTGAGTCCTGATTTATTGGTCTAGTGGGAGAATCTTCAAAAACAGCTATTAGTTCTTTTGAACTATTACAGCCTTCAGTTGTTTCCCCTTCTTGTCTTTGTTTACCAAAGATGCAGCTCCCTACTACATCATCAGTAGCCCCATCTTGCCGGCACAGGCCACCAGCGCTGTTCATTTCCAACATTTCTGAAGGAGTTACGTACATGTCTTCTTCCAGGCCCTGACTTGCACTGAACTCATTTTTCTCAATCACTTTGTCACCTCTCATTTCAAACAGTGATTGTGTTAACTCTGCTGCCTCTAACTCAAAATTAGCATTTAGTCTGCAGGGTTCTACCTGAGAGATTCCTACACTGGCTACATCATTTGGTTCCACATGTATTGCACTATCTGCACCTTCCTGCTGTTTAGCATTTTCCAGTCGTAGACTTACATTTCCTTCTGTGACACTACTGCTGCTGATATTTAAGGATGAAACCAGAGTCGTTTCCTCTACTTGCTTTTGCACAATTTCTGATTCTTCTTGGACAGGGCCCCCAACAGGAGTTGCCTCGTCATCACCAGAGACAGGGAGGATAGGCAAAGTTTGTTCTTCACAGCTAAAGTATTCATTCAAAGCTCTCTCTGGCTTATTATGTTCTCTGCTGGCAAGGGAAGGAGACCCCAAATTCTTACTTACTAGTTCTCCCAGTGTTCCCGTTATCATTTCAGTAGAACAGTTTTTATTCAATGTCTTGGAATGCAAGCCTTTTTGTTCCACAGATATTATAATTAGAGCTGGTTTTAACTCTGGGAACTTCAACAAGTCCCGTCGCTGGCTCACGTAACCCAGCTTGGGAGCTATTTCAATGGCACACACATTATCTTCATCCTTTACTTCTTCATTAATAACACGTCCGTTTGTTGTCACTGGCTTATGGTAGCCCTGCAAGGCATCTTTTTTATTACTCTGGTTCCGCAGCATGGAATCATGTTTCTCTCCTGGAATATCGTTGGCACCTGATTTAGGTGTGGTTTCCAGGCCTTTAAAATCCAAACCAAGTTCAAAAGACTCCCTTAACCCTGCTTCCTTTACAAAGGCCTCTGTGTTTGGTGATTCAGGGCCAGTGCTGCTCTCCTCTGAGTTATTTAGCTGTGTTCTGCCAGCCAGGATGTAGTTTGCAGGACAATTAGCGCCTCTGTTTTCTGCACTAGTAGAAACACCTACAAAACAAGTCGTTTGTTCCTTAGTATCACCAATGTCAGTTTCAACATGAATGCTGCCAGAGAACCTTTGTGTTTCCAAAACTATCTCAGATTTGCTTTTATCTTTTCTTGCTGGTACTACTGCACTTATGCTTGTTGGCTCAGAATGCAAGGCTGAGAGAATCTCTCTTTGTTTTGGATCACACTTGGAGGCATCTTTCAGGTGGAGTGGTGCCAAAGACAAGGTATAAGCACATGTATCTGTCGTATTTCTGTTAAGGCCACATGCTTCTGATTTCCTGTGCAAATTAATATCAGCACCTTGGTGAGAGCCTACCGGATGAGAAAGCTGATCACTATTTGAGTCTACATAGGCATTAAGAAGTGATCCGTTTAGGCCAAATTTCCCCTTGTCTTTTATTGCTTTTTCAGAGCTGCAACCAGCCCTTTTTAAGTCTTTCCAAGTGTATTCCAAATCTAGGCCTTGAAGATGTATTCTGGAACATGACCATCTAAATTTATCAGTAAGCTGAAAATAGTCATCCAAGTATTCTCTCTTGCCTTGAACACTAATGTTTTCAGGTTCACTGTGCCATGTTTTACTTTCTGTAATCTCTGGCTTCCTAGGTAGTGGCTGAAATTTAGATTTTAGGAAGGGCTGGTGTAAGAGTGAATCTGATTTCAGCATGACCCCTGAGATTCCATTTCCTACCCCTTTAGCTGCATTTTGACTGTTAACTGAGTTCTTCTTATTGCATTTTATGCTGGGTATTGAATCCAGGTTGGAATTCAGTTCAGTCACCTCCGTGATTCTTTTATAGCCAGTTCTATTTGTTTCAAAATACATATTAGGCAAACTGTGGCTTGATCCTACATCTGGCTGGAAAGGAAATTGCGGAGTATCAGGGAAAGCCAAACAACTTTCTGAGTTTGCTTTCAAACAAGAAATATTCAATACTGTTGGTCTTTTTTCATTCCTTGTAACAGCTTTTTCAGTTGGTTTTGCTTTATTGCTATCAGACTTTATTTGACCTTGCAATCCACCAACAACTAACTTAGTGTCTGTCCTTGTTACAGTATCCTCTCCACTGGTTTTTGACTTTGGGTTGGAAAGATCACTAGTTAATATTAGTATTTTCTCCCCTGTCTTTTCTCCTTCTGATTTTCCAGTCTGTACCCAAAGTTCATTCTTGGTTGATGCTACTTTTAAATCCAACTGCTTCCTTTGACTATGCGCTGGCTGCCTTGTGCATTTAAGTTGGTGAGCGGACAATTCTGCCTTCACATCATGAAACTTATGGCATGGTTCTCTTTTTTCAGCAGAAAAACAGCTTGAACTCAAGCAAGTTTCTCCAGTTATGTCAAAGGCAACAGACTCTGTGTCTGATGCACTTTCATAAGGCTCAGTCTTAATGTCTGAAACTGATTCACTCTGATGAGACTGGGTCTCAAAATAATCTTCATCTGTTTCCTGGCTTGATCCACGTAGCTCCAACTCTACTGTACTTAGTGTGGTAGAACTCTGGTCATCTTCAAACTCTCCTTCACTGATGCAGTTTTCAGTTGGCTCAGGGGTCTATGAATAAGAAAAAATAAGTAATCAAGAATGGATTCCCTTAGCAATTTAATATTGTTCAGCACTAAAAAGAAATACTTTGTTAAGATTTAAAATATGAAAATTATACATTTTTATGGATTATATCCTGTATTTACAGGCAAATGGAACTGGTGCCCTTACATCTTTACTAAGAATTAATGTTATCTATACAATGCTCAGCAAGTAGTAGAAACCTTTCAAAAACAGTCCAAGACACCTTTCACATTTAAATAAATGAAACAGACATCATTCTTTTGATCTATATTTTGCAACTGTTACTGAATCCATCTATGAGTATTAGTAAGGTGTTTTTGCCATAGATCAAGGGCATCATTGTTCTTATCTAACATAATGTTCAGCAGTTATGGATCTGGATGCTCTCCAAACCAGCACGTGAATCAAGAGTGAAAAGGATATCCAAATCTTTATCCTTAAACAGCCCTGAAAAATGGGTAAAATCTGAAAAGTCCCTACCTCTTTGTAATTGTGAGAATACAGACTGATATCTTTCAAAGTTTAAGGTGAGAGACCCTTAAGGAAACATAGGAGACAATTAAACCTGATTCAACCAAACTGTAAAACAAGAACAACATGTACTAACAATACAACCTAACTCTACAGAACAGTGCATCCTTCACTGAATGGAATCAATAACGCATGTAACTGAGGCCTTTCAATAATGTCAAGCCAGGCCATCAGCAGTACAAAACATGACCAGTAGTAGTAAGACCGTATAAATTAACATTTCACATAGTGATCAAACAGCATGAACTGAAGTAGCAGTTGGCTTATGCTGCAGTGGACACAGGAGCAGCCGTTCAGCATTAGTAGGGCCGAATCTTGAACAATGTTCTAAGCATAAATATACAGATGGCAATAAACTAAGGCAAAAAAATTCTCAAGCAACTGGGATGTAAGAAATAAAGACATCCAATTGTCCACCAAGATAATTATGAATTAAATTACACCAAAATTAGGACACAGATTTATTAGGGTTTGTCTATACTTTGAGTTCCATTGACTTCCAAGTATACACCAAAGGAGGAAGAAAGTGCCAGATACAAAGGGCATCAGTTGGTGCATCCACCGTTCACGGAACTGTCCCAATATTATATTGACTGTCTCTTGTGTCAGGAAGCTGCTGACTGGGAGAGCTGAAATCTGGACTGTGAAGAGCAGCAACACCCTTTGGACTGGGACAGGTTTAAGGGTGGAGCTTACCACTAAGCACTAGGAGAAAGATGTCTTAGAAGTCCCACTTCCTGCTTTATCTCTTACAGTAGCTGCATTTCCTTCCCCTATTTCCACCTCCCCCATCCCACATCCTCTGCTCCCCTGCAGGTTGGAATAGGCCAGTAGCTGACTTCTCTCTATGGCTTTCTTGAGGAAGCTGCCTTGGACATGGTGATGAGGAAAGGAAAACAGACTAGACATACAAAAGCTGGGGAACATCATTTACCAGCTGTTATGCTTTCAGTAGCACTGCACCATCACATAATTTGTTTAAAAACTGAACTTATATGCGAGTTGCAAATAGTAAAATACATTATTTGCATGAATATTAACACTGAGTATTCTATTCTATACAAGTCCTTACACCAACCTCAGCACCACAGGCCACATCTACATGAGATGCTACTGCACAGTAGCTCATTGCTACTGCACAGTAGTGTCATGTGGCATGAAGCATATGACTTCTACTGCAGTTATTGCATATTGTGTATGCAAGTACTAATGACGGTACAGTAACAACTGTACACTCAGTGTCTCATGTAGACACAGCCACAGTGCCTGAACTCCTCACAGTACATCAGCCTGTTATTCATTTTGTACTTGCTTTCTTCTCCTTAGGACGAGAATTCTAAGTGCATTGGTACAATTAGCTTTGTTAGGGGTCAGGGAACTTTCTTTATAAAGGGGTAGGTATTACATGTTCATATCAGAGAAGCCAAGGTCAAAGAAATGTACCTATGTATTTGAGCTAGAATGTACCAAAGTCAGTGACAGTCCTCTGTTTCTCTGGTGTAGTAGTGTACATGACCCTTCCCTTCCCACAATACTAAGGATCCCAACCCACAACCACAGGCCGGAGAACTGAACAAACAGAAGCCATGGGGCAGTAGGCCTCAAATGAAACGATCAGTTGTGGGGGAGTTAGAATAAATTCAGTGGGGTTTTGGGATTCAGACAATGCTTTCAAATAGGCACAGAGGACTCCTTAAAGAAACAGCACTGTAAGAATTTGGCCTTCAGCATGTATGTAATTGTACATAATGTGAAAAAGGAAAATAAATGGGAAGACAAGGACAGTAGAGAAACAGAAAGAAAAGTCTCATGTTGGAAACAGGATTAAGATGCTGTTCGACACTGCTCGTATTCTGAAAATAATCTGTTGCAGCAGCAGCATTAGGCCTTCAAGCTACAAACCTTTCATGCTCCTTGCTCATTTAAAATGCATATTTTCTCATTTTTCTCCCTTACCAGAAACTAAACACAAACCTGCCTATTGGCACAGGGGGCATCCACCATGCAAGTGACTGTGGATCTCTAGCTACCAGCAAGGAGAAAGGAGAAAACAAGCAAGTTTTGGAGATAAAGTCATGCAAATTTGCTCTCTGGCTTCCAAATGAGAAACAGCAGTAAGCCTGTGTGAAAACTGGAGTGTCAGTAAACTAGGGATATCCTTGAGGAGTGTGAAAGTAAATTCACAAGATAGAAAATACAAATTAGGTAGCTTCTAAGACATGATGAAAGAGTAAACTATAAGGCCTCATAGAGAGGGGCCTGGCTTATTCTACTGATGAAATTGCTAGACAAAAGCCAGAATTCTTACTGTTAATCTACATTTAATGGTGGCACTTAATCCATCCAAGACAGAAAATATGGTAGGTTTGCAAAATCTGCAGGGGGCAGGAGGGTGTCATCCTCTGACTTGGACAAGTCATATTATCAAGTGTTCAAAGACTAAAAGCAGTTTAGAGCTTTGCATATCCAATGCACATGCTGATTGTTAGGAACAAAGTATTACTTCTCAATGATGTCCCACCAGAAAAGTGCAGGATGTGACTGATGAATGTATATCAGGATGCAAGAAACACATGGTTTAACTCTACCTGTTGTAAAACAAGTGAAATGCACACTAAAATCTTTACATTAAAGCAAGCTGATTGAAAAGGAAATCATTTTGGTCTAAAAATGACTTCTCAAGGATTAGAAGAATGTTTCCTGTACTTTGAGAGCAATGATGTTTGAGTAATAGGTCATGGCAAAAATAACCCAAATGGAAGTTTTTGGTGTTGGTTATTGTCTCATTATCTTTCTTTAGTTCTACCATGGCTACTTACTGTTCATTTAAGCCTCTTGTGTAGCTAAAATTCACATGCCCAATGTATCAAAAAAATAAATTGAAATTAACAAAGTTAATGACTGTTTTGGGTGCAACCCTGGGTACAGGCTCTTGCCATGGATCATACCTAAAACATCCAGTCTCAAAACAAAGATCTCTGGTAACTTGTCAGGCCTGGAATAGCTCTTGGTTGATAAGCTACAAACCACATGGAAACTTTCTAGCCTGGACTAGAACATCAGTCACATATTTACATCTGCTCCTGCAGAACTTACGGGACTGCCATTGATGTCAGCGAGACTTTTCTAACAGTTATTGCAATTGCTTTGTATGATTCTCCTCTTACACCATTTTTTAAATATTTGATAAGAACAGTTTGCTTATTATGTGATCATTGTAAGGTCCTTAGCTATCCACTTCCTAGCTTTAAAGTGCCTCAATTTTGTAACTGATGCAATAGCAACAAGCAGCTTCAGCAATGATGCCACAATTCACAAACCCTGCATTAATTCCCTGCTTGTATGGAAGAGGGGAATGTGCCTGTCCTGGAGTAGGTAGTAAACACAATGTTACTTCTTGGGCAGAAATTCAAAAGGCTGATTTCCATAATTCACCATAATGAGAGAAGACTGAAATGTACAAGAGGAAACAAGAAGAGTAAACAAGCAAGCTATCCTCTTTGTTCAGCGGGCCTCTACACTGGTCATTATATTAAATAAGGAATCCTCAAGATAGACACATATGGATATTGTTTACTGAGGCCAAAATCCTGAGGGTACAGCATAGTCTCAATTCCCACTGATGTCAGTAGGAGAATAGTAAGCACTTCAGGGGATTGGGCTGGTCCTGCATGGCATAAAGAGCAAGTGTCAACTTTCTTCTCATGGATGACATCACTTTTTTTCCTCCTCCCCCCTTGAGAAGGACAGCAGTATTGTACCCATAAGCAAAGATGAATAAAAACAAGAACAGGAAGTATGTGAAATCTAGGTGTACTTTATTAGCCACCTGAAATTCCTGTTATGACAGCTTTAGATGGCATCTGTGGTATGGTGTTTTAATTTGCATTTTGCAAATTAGTATTGTTTAAATGGGATTGTTAAAAAGGCTGTAAATATTTGCAGTCTCTCTTGATTTCTGTAAAGATAATGATTCAGGTCATATTTCTCAAAATGTGGGTGCCTAGAGTGACTCTAAAATCCAAAGCTAGGCACCAAAGCATGTAGCCTAACCACTGTAGTTCATCTCAGATGGAGGTGTTGAGAATCCATCAACTGTCTTCAGCTTCCATAATAGCTGTAAATGTCTAAACAAGGGCTTTTGGGCTTAAATGCAGGTTAGACAGTCAGTTCTGAAAGTATTGGCCTTGATAGCCTTTCAGCGCTTATGAAACATGCTGCATTGGCACTGTGTGAAGCTCTCTTCAACTGCAGAACAGGAGCAGCCCAGGCAGCACCACTTTCATGCAGCACATCTTCACCACAAGCCCATTCTGGCCTACAGGAGCCGGCCTCAAAATACAGGAGACAATTCCATTTTCAAGCCCTATTTGAGCCTTGACTGTCACAACTGAGGGTCCAACGGGTGCTGAGAGGAATGGTCCTTTTTTGGCAACTTGGACACCTTTCATGCA